CTTATTCATTCTTTCTAGGAAATATTATAGGGTTAACTTCATGTTTCTTTTTCATGATGTACTTAACTTACTTTTATTTTCTTACTCCTAATCATCATGAATAAACTAGTGTTGTATTGTATTTTATTATATGGCTGTGTCTCACAAGGACTGGGAACTACTGAATTCACGAATTTGACTGGCTGAAATCAATATTGAAAGCGGTCTAGATTTTCCCATCTAGACCTGCATCTAGACCGGTCTAGAAAAAATAGGTACAAAGAATATAAAAAAATTGGCATATAAGACACATCCATATAATAGACATCTTATTAACTGAGCTAGGTCTGTCTGTATGGGAGAATCTTGACCTCGGTTGCTGGTACAGACCTCACTGCATTCGGTCTGTACTGGCAACCTTGGTCAAGATTCTCCCATACAGTCCTCCCACTTGGTTAATAAGAACTAAGCATTGTGGTTGATATAGCGTTACCAGAGCACACCTACCCCTCTCCCCACCCAACAATCTCAGTTGATTTACTAGTAACCTTTTCACCCTAACATCAGTATGCATATTCTCAATACACTTCTCTATGCATTAGTAAAATTACTAACATGGAGAATTTGTTGAACAACCAAGAGCTTCTTTAGTTGGTGATCATATCCCTAATTCTCATGACCTAAATGTGTGATTCAGGGGTGATATTGTAAGGAGAAATTAGATTTTAGTCCCTATTAGGGGGTTAAAAGATTAAAACGGTGGGAGGGGTAGGTGCATAGTTACTCAGATACCAGCTAAGGCTGTGTTCACACTTGGTGCTCTAGCAACAGTGCCTGAGTATGATTCTTGATGGACGCTTAATGTGAACACGCCTTTTATTCAAGTACCCATGCCAGAATTCGGGCACCGTGGCTGTTCCCGAGTACATGGTCTTAACCTTGTACTCGGGCACTGAACCAGGCACTTATTTATCAGGTACTCTGGCTAGTGTCTCAACACAGCACCACTTTGTGCCGGTGCTCTGGCACTAAATGCTCGGGCACTAATGCTCGGGCACCAAAATGTGAACGCAGCCTTAATTGTTCCCACAAACTTAACAAACACCAAAATAGGAAGCAAATTCTTACTTCGTCTCTGAGGTAATCATATACCGCTACATCCTCAGCCATTGCCGCCCTGTTCTTTTGCCTTCTCTTTGCCTTTCTATCAAACACGTTCATGATAGTTTCGTCCTGTCCTCTCGAACTAAAATATCTCCTAAGACTCGCGCACCTTAACAGTGAAACAAGCCTGCCACAGGCCATTGCAATAAGCTCTTAATAATTAGGCAAACAGAATACCAAGGAAGCCATTTGCCTCCAATAAGAAGCAAATATATTTTTTACAAAAGTTTGACCGCCATGTTGAACGCGCTCATATCTGGGAAACTAAGTCGAATATGTTGGTAACCAAGCAAAGAGAGCCTAGGAAGGAGATGGGTAACCACGCTATAGTCTGGCTACCAAGTCAAGGCGGGAAAAATAAAATAAAATTTTTGCACAAACATTGTGTGAGCTATTACTCCCTGCCATTATGTTCGAGGAGTCCGTTACTTCACTGAGGAACTACATTCAAGATCGTACAAATGGAGAATGCACTCCGCCTTGGAACTGGCTGTTTATCAAACTCGCCTCTCTTCTCTCTCGTTATCCTTCGGGAATCACCAAGGCGATTATCTTGGCAGAGATTCAACAATCGTGGAACCAACATAGTCAATTTCAGGGACTTCTGGAGGAACAGAAAGCGCGTAAGGTATCTGTTGAGTCCGTTTTTGAAAGCAGGCGCATAGGATACGAATCAATCCTTGAAGCAGTCGTAGAAAATATTGAAACGGTTCCAGGAACTCACACCAAAATTGCTATTTTGCGAGATCCGGCAAGAGGCAGAAATAGTTTGGGAATGCATCTACATCAAAAACTTTATCATTTGAACGAATCTCGCGTCAAAAAACTCACCCTGCGTTTCACTAGCTGTCGTTTAATTCAGAGGAAAAGTTTGAGTTTATCTTCGGCCAGTCACAAAGTCCACCTTCTGCCTTCAGAAAATGTGGTGATTTTGTCCCAGCAAGACGAACTATCGCAGTTTGGATTGTTTGGCTCGCTCGAAGGAATAAATGAAAGTCCTTATCCCCACTATGGCCACAATATTAAAGTTGAAGTCGCCGATTTAGGCTTTGAGGAAGCAGTCCACTTTCCCAATGGCCAGACAAGTAACAAGAGATGCGTGAAAGTAGTTGATTCTGAAGACGTTCATGTGAATTTATACCTCTGGGATGAACAACTCCCTCTAGCAAACCTGTTCAAAGAAGGCGACATACTGGCTATCCAGCAACCCTTTGTGGTCCCAAATCAGGATGAATTGTTTTTCCTAGAATATGGTCCAGCTACAGTCATATTTTGCATGTCACATGCCCCAGAACGTGAAATAATTCCAAGCCAAGATTCCTGTACCCAGGGGGCCCCTGTAAGTGTTATAAGAGACAGTCAAGGGATGTTAGACTATTCAACCTTTCCTGAAAGAGTGTTTTTGAGAGACATCAAATCAAACATGACACGGGTGACGGTATTCTGTACCATAACCAAAGTGAATGCCATGGAAGTTTTCTCACGACAGCAAGTTGCAGGACACAAGTTCACCATAACCGTCACAGATGCTACTGATAGTTATACTGTTACCATTTATGATCACAACAGAAGTTATCATGATTCACTTTTTGCCAGCCAAAATGTTTTGTTGGAAAATGCTTGTACTCCAGGTGGGTATAATTTCAGGATTGCATATCAATAAAGCAGGGGTTTCATTAAGGGCCAGGCACCGGGCAAATTGACCGGTTGTGAGGACGGTTTTGCCCTGTGACCTGATTTGATGGTCTGGAGGAAAGTTTATCTTATAAAGAAGTTCAGTTCAAAGATTTTTGCCCACCTGTGAAAACCAGTTTCCCTCCTGCAGAAAACATTAATGAAGCCCCTGATAAAGGGATCTTTGTTGTCAGACCACCATTCTTGTGATTGGTGACTAGAGAGTCAAACCATGGTTGTTTGTATGCTAGGTTGGTCAGAGATATATATTTTTATTTTTAGACCTGTTGACAAAATTCAGGATGATGATAGTACAAGACTGAATTTTTTCTTTGTTTGGATTATATACCGGTAAGATGCCAAGCAACAGAAACTACCAAGCTAATAAGTTATTGTCAGTGTTGAAAATTATTTATTTGAACCAAGGTTATTTCAGTCCATAGCAACAAGTTTTTTATGAAATTAGTTTAAATATTTAAGAACAAAGGTACAGTAAGTGATCATTCTCTGTTAACCATAATTAGCCCAATCCAGTGTTATCAGTAAAATGAGCCTCACGCAAACTCTTTTACCCTTTATGATGAAATACCATGTTTGAATTAGCAGTCACCTTTTTCACCCTTTAACACCCAAGATCTCTGTGTTACTTCTCTCTTCTAGTTAGCATTCACTTCCTTGTAATGTACACTGTACTTGCGAGAATTTGATAAAAAGATATTCATTCTTATCACGTCTACTTTACTGAGATTTTTGAGAAAAAGCTACATGGTGATTGCTTGTGACAATTAAATGTTTTTCTTTTTATTTTCTTTCCAAAAAAGATGCAAGTTCATTAAAATCCTTAACCTTGAAGACAAACAATGGTGGAAGAATCTGGAATCTTAGTGCAATGACAGGCTGGCTGGCGACCAAGTACTTTTCATCTCCGGTGCCTGTCAAAGATGTTGTCAAGTTTTATCACTGTGTGTGTCAAGCCGTTGTCATTCAAGTTCACGGTATCAGAGGGAGACATGCTGTTAGAGCTCACATGTCATGCCACAGTGAAGTGGAAAGTAACTGTGGCTATTTCCTCTGCAAGAACTGCAAAGTTACTCATTTGAATGAAACTCTCAACAAGCCTCATCAGCTGGTGAGTCTTAATCACTCTACACCCTAAGATTAGCATGCATATTCTCCATACTGTTCTCTATATTTCCTTTGGAAATGACAAGGAGAATTTTTTTGCGATCATTTCCGTTATTCTCATAACCTCAATATTTGATACAGGGGTGGAATTGTAAGGAGAAATTTTATGCCAGTCTCTCTTCAGTGTCAAAGGCTTAACATGGCTCAAAGTTGTTTCTATTTATATATCTTATTAACCAAGCGCGAGGGCCGTACTGGGAGAATATCGGCCTGAGGTCTTGACAGTACAGACTGAGCGCAGCGAGGTCAGTACAAAAAAGACCGAGGGCCGATATTCTTCCAGTACGGTCCCGAGCAAGCTTGGTTAATAAGAGATTTATTACACGACTGAAGTTCAAAGGGACACAAGTGCGGTATTATTCGGGACCATTCGGGACCGTTCGGGACAGTGCCCGGTCCAATACTGAGAGAATATTGACTGGCAATAGAGCATTTTGATTGGTTGATTTTAGTTATTGGCCCTCTGACTGCCCGAGTCATGTAATAAGATGGATTATTGCCTAATACAGTTTTTCTTTTGTTCCCTTGAAAATGAAAATAAGGGCTCGACACTAACTTATCAACTTACTAGCCAAGTGGCTGGTGACAACTTCGATGTTGCAACAATTTCAGTTTACTAACCAAACTGGCCTGTCGAAATCAAAAACCACTAACCAAAACTGAATTTCTATTAGTCTTTGGCTAGTTAGCTATCGGTAGTGTTGAGCCCTGAAAATGGTTTTAAAAAAATTGTCCAACCATTTCTAAGCAAGGTTTCTCTAAGGTTACCATAGGAACACCCCATCTACTTGAAACATCTTCATTTGAGAATTATTTTGGCTGGATCTAGGTTTGTTCAAACACTTGAATCACTTTCCTTTTTTTCTATTCAAGTTACGGTACCCTTTTTTCAGCTGTTCACTGAATAATTCATGAAAGATAGATGCTACACATGGTTTGAATATATCTACCCCTAGTGTAAATGTCTTTTTAAAAACTTGTGATTTCAGAAATCCCCATCAATGTACTGGAAATGGCAGTATACTCTGAGTCTTGAGTTGCATGACTCAGACAAGAGCGTATCTCTAACAGACATTGCTGCAGAACAGCTTCTACAAATAACAGCTTCACAGTTTGTTGAACATGTTGCAAATGCTCAAGAGCAAGTGTTGGAATCTGTCCTTGGCCAAGAATGTTTGTTTGGTATTTCATCCTTTCAAGGACATTATCAGATCAATGCTATTTGTCTCATAAATTGACAGCAAAAACTGTGAAAGGCAATGCTAAGACTGCACATTATACAAACCTTCCACTGTATTGCTACTTATCATATTGTGAACCTCTTTAATAACAGGTGGGATATTTATTCAAAGGTTGTAATGGTTATGTACATTTAACAATTATTCCACGAGCGCGCATTGGATATGAGATGATAGATAGCCAACGAAGCGCGTAAAGTATAAAATTTTATTAAATTTTTAGCTCCCTTTTAATATTAAGCAGACACTTACGATGGCCATATTTGTAGATTATGGTATATTGGCTGATATACCATAAGGGCTAAGCCAATAAAAAGTCTTGAATTGCATTATCCAATGATCTAGTTTTTAATAATCCTGAATAGTCCATTTTCTAGTTGTGTGCTTGGTTGCCAAGCCTTTGAACAGGAGCAAGGCTAAGGTGACCTTGTTACATGTATGTTATAAACTTTGCTGCCTTCCAAATGTAAATTACTTTGTTATCATGCTAACTAGATACTAGTCCCTATCACAGCAAGGTCACCTTCAGCCTCACTCCAGATCAAAGGCTTGGCAACTGAGTACACAACTGTGAAATGGCCTATTCAGGGTTCAACACTAACTTTTCAACTTGCTAGCGAATTGGCTCATGACAACTTAGATGTTACTGACAACAATTTCAGGTTGTTTAATAGCCAAACTGGGAAAAGAGTAATAGCTGTTTTTAAACCAATCTTTCAATTTACAAAAACCTTAATGATCAAAATCTTGTCAGCCTTGCGCTTTATGATACTTTTGATATTTAGTTGATTAAAGCTCTTCCCTGATTAATTCCATTTTTAATCAGCTTCCTTGTAATTTTTCCATCAATTTTTCAAGAAGTTCAGGAAATGCCATTGACATAAAGTGTCCTTTATCAGAGTATTGTTGGAACTCAGCACTAGTTCCTTCTGCCACTTGTTTTTGTTCACTAAATGGAACAAAAGGGTCGTCTGTTGAACCAAACTGAACAATCCATTGAGTGTTGAGCCTAATCTGTTCCCATTCCCAGGGCCGATTATAGTAACCTGTGAAAAAAATTCTTTCATTTAGTACTTTCAAATCAAATGCAAGCTTTGTAGTGATTAAAATATGATGACAAAAAAAAAAAATGACAAGAATAATGAAAATAGAAATAATTTTCCTTTACCACTTGCTTTTTCATTGGGATCTCCCAAATCTGTCACACAGGCTGAAACCAGAACCAAACCATATACATGATGATTCTCTGTATATCTGAATTTAAAAAAGCAAAATACAGAAATGTAAAGTGAAAAGAAGAAAATCAAAAGCATTCATGACTTTAATGTTTAATGAAACATCTTAATGATACCAAGTCTTGCATTTTCATGGATATTTAGATCTTTTCCTCTTGCACTTGCAGGTATTCTGTCTCAGCTATTTTTATCTTGTTCATTTTAGCTTGTTTCCATGTTCAGTGCATAAATAGTTAAATGATGACCATCTTTTTTACTACCCTCCTTTGCAAACTAACCTTACATTTCTGCTTACTGCTTCCTAATCCTACGAATTTAACAATTTGAATAATTTTTAACTCTCCCATAAAATCTCCTTGTAACTTAGTTAAGAGAATTTGATATCATCAAAATAACTCCTTCCAACAATTTTCTCTTATCATCTTTTTACTGGGTAATGTTTTGAGACCATTACAAATTTATCACATGTTCAGCTAACATTTAATAAACCACCTGGTTAGCTCAATTGGTTAGAGCGCTGGATTGTGTTGTGCAGGAGGTAGAGGGTTCGAGCCCCAGCCGCACCAATACTCATGGTCTTAAAATAACTGGGGAGAATTTGCTACCTGTCTATTATATCCAAAAATGGATAGATATTCTAGTCTTCTCGGATAAGGACAAATAAAACCATAGGTCCCATCTCCTGCAGGGTGGGAGATGTTAATTTCCCATGCACAAGATTACTGTGTGGTGGATGTCCTCCCCGGGGTGGGATAGTGGGTACACACATCACAGGGCCCCATTTAAACCAGCTATTTGCTGAACTGGGCTACCCTGTCTAAATATTCGTAAATAAATAAATAATAAACAAGGGACGGCATGTTGTTGATCATGAAAATGTGTAATTCTTCTAACCTTGAATTGAGCACATTTACAAAGATACCGGTAAATACTCGTCCCTAATCTTTTTCATTAAATCACCTCATGGCAGCTTGGGCCCCTGAGCTATGCCCAACAACCACAGTGTTGCTGTCGCAACTAAGCTGTTTCTCCATGAATGGAATCCATATAGCTTCACGTGCCACCACTAAAAAAATGATGGGAAGTGCTTATTTATTTAATTTTATTGTCATGCGGTAAGTAGCCTATCACAATTTTTCAATGGGAGAGGTCCTACAACAGTATTTCATTGAATTTTGGGGGTATGTCAGGTCGTTCATAAAAATATTATTGTAATAAACTAACTCTTCCATAATTGTGTCCATAATTTTATTTGGACAATGCATAAGTGGGCAGCTGTTCATAAAAGAAGTCCCCAAAGTGGATTATTCAGACTGAACATTTTACAAGGCTGACTTTTGCTGCAATTATGCTGCAACGAATTATGGGAAACTAAGGCCTCCCTCCCTCCTTTCCCCTGCAAGAGTGGGGACCTTAAGCAGCCACGACGGCGACGGCAACGAGGACGTGGAAAAACAAGAGATCTAATGGGCAGAACAATAGCTCAGCACGTGCGTTTTGAAACTTTGTACATTTCTTAGCCGTCCTATGCAAAACAACAACGTGAAATCGCCAAAATTTGCGCCGTCTGCGAACCGAAACCGCGACGGCAAATTAATTTAATTTCCATTCAGAACTCAATGCTAATTCTATACGTCATGCTGAAGTTGAGACAGTAAGCTCATGCAGCCATTTTTGAAATTATAACTAAGAGTAGAAATTCATTTTTTAATCGAAGTCTTCCTTGGCGTTGCCGTCCCGACTGCTAAAGGTCGGTCCCTAGTTTGATGGAGGCAACTGCACTTCCGGTTTTCAAACTAGTCCAAATCAAACTGTTTGTCGCGTACCTGGATCAGGCATATTCTTCAGTACACACTCCACATCTTTCTAAAAAGAATAGTAATGTTTCGAATGACAATTACAAAATAACCTCAATTCCTTTCAACAATGAAGACTAGCTAGTGAGGCTTTCTGATTGAGGGTATTTTTCTTTACCTCTTTAAGCTTGTTTCGGAGCCAGCCATACCAGTTACTTCGTTCAACATCTCCATTACCGTTTCCTGGTATGATGACAACTCTCGTTTGGCTCATTTTGGGACGGAAATGTATCAAAATGTACATACGCGTACGTACAGTTCGATTCACAACACTATCGCGCTATCTTGCCGAGTAAGACTGGTTCTGATTGCCCTGTTTTGGTATACCCAGGGCCCTGATTCGCGCTGACTAAGGGCTAACGCTTGAAACGTCGGCTTTTTAACTCGTTACCGTGGCCAATTTACTATTTCAACTTAGTTGATAAAACTAAATTACCTTGTTACCCCACCGACGCAGCACCGCAGTTTCCTTAGAAACTTTCACCCTTTTACCCATGCAAGCTGGCTTATCAAGAATTATTATTTGCGTAGCCGCAGGATTTGGTTATGAAAATGACTTGAAAAGTTATCCAACGCTGCACTGTTTGCCAATCTTGTTTATTCTCCCCCACGTCATTGCTCCCAAGGAAAAGAAAAATTTCTTGAAGACGAAATTTTGGCCAAACGCCCCGGGATTTTTTTTATCAAGAAAGCTGACGATCGATCTGTAAAACGCAAAAAGAGGAACAAGGGCAGAATTTTGCTTCCAGCCATCTTGACTGAAAAAGCCTAATCAGTCGCACAAAAACAGGCATGTTGCTGAAAATCGCGTGAGATCAGCTCGGATTCAGCGAGAGTAAGACGTGCATTTCTAAGAGATGTTTACACTCCATCGCTGTTGCAACATAATGTTATTCTAAAAATAACATGTTTATATTGAAGACATTAAAACAATGATCATCTTTTCCACTCAGAATTGTCAAGCTAAATTAGCCAAACATTAAAAAAAATATATACATATATTGGCCTTAATTCTTCATTTCCACCAGTCTCGGAAAACCTCTTCTCCTAAACTAGTTGATTCCGGTCGTGAATGGTACAAAGACAGCTTTCCTGACTGCCTAACAACCATCTGAATTTGTCTTGTTCAATAATTCACAAAATAAATTGAACTCATGAACCATTGCAGAGCCTTAATAATTCATTGTTTTTAGTTTATCCTTGAACTTTCAGTGTAAGATAAGTTAACGAATGTTGTATGATTCAAAGTATAACAAACGATTTCCAAGGTTAGGCAGTATACATGAGGCAAACTTTTTTTTAAAAAAGAACAAAATGATGCTTGCGGAATATGAGGAACTACATCATGACATGGCTATTTACCATGTTTTTCGAGTCAGCTCCACAAAAAACATTTATTTTTACATTAAAAGACAAGTACCTCATATTACGTTTTAAAATAATTTTTTGGCAAAGTAGCTAGCTAAACACCTTTTCTCAAACTCTTCATCTGTCAAACTCAAGGCGCTAAAATTAATTGGTAATTATGGGTCGTTCTGTCCCAGGTTAATTAAAAAAAAGGAATCACGAAGTTTTTGCAACAGTTTTCTAAAATTCGTGAAACAACCTCATCAGGATAAAGTGATTAAAATTTAGAAATTGATTGATACAGCCGAAATATTCTGTGATTAATCGGTAATCAGGGGTCGTTCTTTCCCAGGTTAATAAAAATAAAAGTCACGAAGCTTTAGCAACAGTTTTCGAAAACTCGTGTAACGGCCTCATCAGAATGAAGTGACTAAAATTTAGAAATTGATCGATACGGCCGAAATATTCTGACCAGTCACGTACAGAATTTTTTATATGGAGAGACCGATCTGGTTAATCGGTTTCGACTTTTGATAAACAGCCAAGGCGGAAGTCCATTCCGTGACAAGAGGGGGCATTGAGATCTTCGGTTTTGCAGTGTTGTCTGTTTTGTAGATCGGTTTTTCGGTTTTTGTGCCAAAAAACTTCAGTTTTTCGGTTGTGGTGCTCATTGCGGTTTACGGATTTTCCGTTTTTTAAGCATTTGATGTTCGGTTTGTCAAAAATACGAACGGCTTTTCGGAGTGGTACTCGATGTGGTTTTGGTTTTTCCTATCTGGGTTCCAGCTTCTCTTCTATACTCCACTTGTCACATTTGCCTGCCGGTTTTGATCAAATTTTCCAGCGGTTTTGCGGTTTTGGATTATTTTTCTACGGTTTTGTGGTTTCTAAGAGACCCCAATGCCTCCCTCTTACAGACCTAACAATTATATTTTTTGCCTTTCGCTTTCTTCTTCTTCTTCTTCTTTCCTCTCACCGTCGTTAGTAAATCAAAGAAATGTGGTTGAACGTTCTCGTTAAAAAACTTCTCTTCTTTCTGTCTCGTATCAAATGTCTTTGCCTTAGCGTTTACTTCGCCATCTAAATTCAGCTGTGCGTCCTCGAACTTTTGTATGGCGTCTTGAAATTCTAGATAGCTTTGGCTCTTCGCAGCTTCGGAGTTCCTGCAATCCCCGTTGTTGCGGTTCTGCTTCCTGGGCTTTTCCATTTTCAGATTGACAGCTTTTCCGTTGTCGATTATGATAACACTATCCTCTATTTTAATTTCTGATAAAGACTTGGAGAGTTCTTGTGTCTTCTCTCGAGAATCGTTTGATTTTTCCTCAACGCTGGTTTTCTTTGCAACTGCTCGTTCTATGAAAGAAAGACTCGATGTACGTTCGAAAGATCGGCGCGGGTTTCCCAACGAACTGCCCACGGGTGTTTTAAACCTAGAAGTCGGTGAGGTCTGTGAACGCCGCCTCACTAAAGGAACCGAATGAGCTTGTACCATAATGGATGATAACTTTGGAACTTCGATGCGAAGAAAGTCGTTTACAGGAGTACTTGGACAGCTGTACATTCTTTTCCGAAATTTCCCGCGTACGGGAGTTTTTGTCACGGTTGACTGTGCGTGGTCAAAGCTCTCCTCCCTTCCTCGACTTCTTGGAGGTGAATATACAAACTTTGTTCCCCATCTTGCTAGACTAGTGGAAGAAAGACAAGGAAAGCTCCTCCATTTTTCGTGGGAATTGAACCTTTCAGCACTTGGACGCAGTTCTTTCAAATCGCATTCGCTGACAATCCCATAGGGGAAAAAACTTCGTTTCCGCCCATAACTTGGACGCATTGAGTTTGATTTCGAAGAAACTTGTTCTTCTGGGCTAGATACTTGTGAAGACGACGTAGTGTATTTCTCCGGGGCATAATGAGTTGAATAAAATTTCCAGTGGCTCTTGGTTCGACTCGAATAAGCTGCCATTTAATAACACAACTATTCCGAATGAATGTGAAGGAATACTCTTCCGCTAGAACGAAGCTGAAGACTGGAAAGCCAGCAACTCGCAGTCACAAACTTTCCTAGTCCATTACAAAGCTCAGCTAAAGATATTATGATTTAAAACGATTTGTTTAAATTACCGCCCATTGATAGCCACTTACATCTCGAAAAACAAGTCATCAAGTCCTATAGGCGCCACATCATCTATCATTGGTTTAACGCGCTAAATTGCACCAATTCACAGAGGAACTCCAAACTCTGATAGCGAACGTTAACTCGCTCAATAACTCATGCTAAGAGAAAGACTCATTTTAATCTGCTGACTACGGCAGGTGGATTTTATTTATTCATTACTTTAGTTCATTCCACGTTTAGAATTCCCCCTTTCTTCATTTGTATACAATACTATGCAAGATTCTTATTACATAATTCTTATACAATCTTAAATTACACTTTCATAACAATGATAAAAACTGACAGAATAACATCCTAAAACTTTAGAGATGTCAGCATCCAAAGAAGAAAATTAATTTCCTTGCTTCACACTTTCATGTGTAAAACTACTTATTTTTTTTTCTTTCTCCTTTCTCAGCACTTACACTTCCTCATAAAACCAGGTCTCTTTCAAACATTTTGCAGCTCAATTCCGCGAGAAAAATCACTCTCACTTACACCAACTTAATACTCAACTTAGATACCAAGAATACGTTCCCAATTTAGATCAAGAGTTTATTCATTTGCAGCGCAATGGCGTCAAAGGCACTGTTTAATATTTGATACGATAATGTAAACCTCGCAGCAGTCCTGCATGAGACACCAAAAGTTACCCAAATAAGCAATTATACAGTCGAACTTACCTGTATTATTGGGAGTTCGAAGACTGAATTAGTCTTTCCATTTCGATTTAGTTTTTGCATTGCATTCTATTCACGAAAGTCGATAAAAACCGACAGAAACTTAACTGTTCAAACATTTTCATTTGTTTATCTTGTGTAATGGAAAAAAAAAAATACTGAACATTTTAGTTGCTATTTTCCGCGCTGAGAGAACGCTTAATAGGGTGTTTTTAGAAGCAAAACTGAAACAAGATACACGAGTAAATAAATCCATTACTGTAAAATATTTATACCGAGCGGGGATTCAATCTAGACACCGGCCCTCACTGAACGATCCAAATAGTACTCGAGACGTCCGAGTTTGTAGCCGCAGAAATGTTCTTTACAGTTGAGATACTACGAGCGCGCTGATTTGTCAAAAACCTATCTCAATAGTTGAGATACTACGAGCGAGCTGATTGGTCAAATACCTATCTAATTACCAATTGTTAAACCAACCCGTAAGCGGTTATGGAATTCAAGTTTTTTTCATAAAAGTTATTTACCGCTCTTTCTTTCGAATTACCGTCGTGTTAACCCTCTAGGTATGTTGGGGAACATTTAAAAAGTTTGTCTATCACTCGCGTCCGGCTCCTACGGTCTATTGCTTAATCAGGAAACAGATGTTTTTGGCTATTTAAAGCAACCCAAGCTATTTTCGGTATTTAAACGGTAAAAAAAAAAAAAAAAAAAAAAAAAAAAAAAAAAAAATTTGTGGAGTTAATTAAAAAATGTTTTTTCCTTTTGCGGTTTGACTGGTATCGCTGTTCAACGAGACTCTGTTGGCGCTGCAGGTAAAGACAACGAGTTCTTCGTTTCAGAAGACGTCTCCGAACGGGTTTATTTTTAGGCCTCTTTATGATGTTCTGTCCAAGTTTCCTGGATATCGGACGCTAGCTGCTCGCTGTTAAGTGGGTACCAGTCCTTTTCAAAAACGCAGATGGAGTTGCTGAGCTGGAAACAGAGTTCTTTATTCATTATTTTTTAACTGTTCCATCGAGCTTGTAGGAAAGAAATACTATCCATACAAACATGATTTTAAAATTGGTGCTAGCTAAGTTTACTTGATAAAAAATCTATTTTTTTTTTTTAAAAAAATTCCCTCTGTGTTCGATCCCCTTATCAAACGCACAATCTAAGCATAGTGCAATTGTGGAGCTTTGAGTGGCTAAGCTAAGCGTTCTTGGCTAACCCAAAGTAGTTCAGGGTCAATTTCGCCGAACTATTTCAATTCACTCATCCATGGCTTGGAGTTCAAACTCTGAGTTCCGTAAATTCTTCGACGCATATCTCAAAAACGTCCCCTACTCCTGCTGCATTAACTTTTGAGCCTTAATTCTTGTCAGAATGATTAACGCTCTCTTCTTTACATTCTCGTTTTCGTGAGCTGTGAGGTTGTCAAGCGCCTTGCTCAATCCTGCTATTTCCAGATCTCGTCGGAAGTATTCTGTAAGAGAAACAACTTAGTTCAGTTGACTTTGCAAACTTAGAGTTTGGAAAACAAACATTGCTTCGTATATTCGTAACTTCTGACCTCAATTGACGGCGAGTTCAAACCCTCTTAAACCACGGTTCAAAATTGAATCCAAAAACACGACAAAAAAGCAACTACAACCCACTTTAAACGCGTTTGAAACACAACAAATAATTGGGGCCGGTAAACATTGGCTAAAAAGTCCAACGAGGCGATAAGAAAATGAGCCATGAAACGAGAACGAAAATTTCGGCGAAAGGATGCGTTTGAAAACGAACCGAATATTGTTGCATCGTGGGGGAAAATAACACATCATACGAACCTTTAAGTGAAAATGATTCCAAGACAGCCATGGCGTTGTAGCATGACTGTGGATTCACGTCTTTCGTTTTGATGAGTTTCATCAGCGTTTGAATGGCACCACTGTCTCTAAGCTTTTGGTAATGACTTTCTGAAAAAACAAGCAAAAAACTAAAACAATAAATAAGGTAGAGTTGGGTGACATCATGAAAGCCGGGATAATTAACAATTAGTCCTTTAGCGCGCCTTGGATGTGTTGGCCATAACCAAGATCGTATCCAACAGGCGCGGATGGAATGATTGTTTTATTAAATTTCTTTATATCCTGAAAATTTGGATATTAGGAGCCTTTTTCAGCTCCGCAACGGTTTGCGCAATACATTTCAGATAAGATGACTCGGAATATGAGCTGATAACCGAAGTTGAGCGAACCAATCAGAACACTAGAAATGCAATATTCGGAGTTGGAAATTTAACAAATACCGGTAGCCTACGAGCTGGCCCTCATTATGAGCGTAGCAAGACGAGCGTTTCACACCCCGCAAAAAGATCTAGGACGAGTCGAGAGAGGTCTTCGGGGGTTAGACCACTTGTAAACCTCTCGCCGGGCCAAGAAACGCTTTATTTTGTAGCTTTTGGAATTTAGTAGGACATAAAAAACAGTTAGCATCAGATGGTTCTCTTTATTCTCATAAACGGTTGAGTCATAGTGAACTGATAATGCGAGAAAACAGAAGAGATTGTCAACACTCGACAACTTATGAAAAGAACTGAAAGTCGCACCTTCCACAGTTGTTGATATCACCGCCAATGCAATCAGAGCTTCGTTCTGCATTATGGGATGTTCCGACGTTACCATGGTTACGATAGGGGCCAGTCCACCGCATTTTAATATTTGCTGAGAGACCTCTGTCGTGATGAAGAAAGAGATGGAATTGTATTATGCGCTTTAACAGAATAATGCAGGACGCAAAGGACAGGTGCAGGTCACTTTGAAACTATAATAGTTATGGTCTATTATAATTTTGCATCAAGCGTCGGAAAAAGCACAAATTTCCGTTAGTATGATTGGCTGAGCTGTCAATTGTCTCGAGAACTCGTGCTACCCTTTCAACCATTCAGATGGTAAAAAATATGAAAACTTGCATCACTCGCGTTTTCCTGAGCGTCACTCGCGTTTTGCTGCGCGTCACTCGCCTTTTCCTGCGCGTCACTTGCGTTTTCCTGCGCGTCACTCGCGTTTTCCAGGCCGTTCACACGAATTTACTTTGAGCTCTCATCAGGATCATTGGATCATTGGAGTTAAACTCACACCGAGTTTGACTGTTGGTTCGAGCATTCGACCAGTGTAGAGAAGACAATGGTTTTAAATGGACTCAAATTCCTGGTCCTAACCCGAGCCCTTACCCACCTGCCGTTCTAGCCTGTTTTGCCATCATTGCCAACATCCTGCTAGCTTCTGCTTTGACTCCCTCGTGACCGCTGGACTCACAACATCGGACTAAGGTGTTGAGATGGTCGTCACTTCTAATGATCCTTTTGGCCACGGCAGCTGTAACGCAAAAAAGTGTCACGTTCTGTCTCTACTTAGATTGTTTTAACTTTAACTGCTGTTGCTGCAGAAATTCTTCAAGGGAAGTTTTTCTCGTTGGCCTTTTCTTTAATAAAATTTGAACCAGAGATTATAAACTTGGGAGTAAAATATTGATTCTTTACGCGTGGCAAATACATGTGAACAGAGCGTGGGTGTACACATGACATCGACGTTGCAGAACGATGACGTAGTGTTGCTTGATTCGCGCATGCTCAGAAGAGTACAAAGCTGATGCGCGAAGACTTACTGAGAAGGAAGGAAAGAGAATCTCTGCTTTGTTTCAAGTTCTTACCGTCTCCCATCAAGAGCATGCGCAACGTGCCAAGAACTTTAAACTGGACGAAAGGGGACTGGTTCGTGAGAAGAGGCAGAATTACATCTAGGCAACCGCACTCAACGAGTTTAGACTTGTTCACAGCTACAGTCGCCAAAAAACAAAAGTAATAATAAATTTGAAGGTTGTGTCATGACCAAGAGTATACCGGTTAAAATAGAATGACATCAAAAAATACGGAAATTAAGGACTTCAAAACCCTAAAATAAACACAGTTAGCTTTAGCCCGGTTAAATCGGTCGAAATTGTTTTTTTTCACATAACAGCCTATTCTTTTTTCTTTCTTTTACATTTTGCAGGTATAACATTCCGCTGTTACACAGATAAAATTGCTCCCTTAGAAAGCAAAACATTCTATGTTATTCGCTAATAAGATTTTTCAACAGTTAATTCTTTTTCTGACACAGAAGTAATCTCCTTCGCAACTCGTTCTTTGGAATGTCACGCAAGGAGAGCGTTGTTTAAACTAATGAACATGTCGATAAAGAGTCTCGTGTATCCTCTTCTTTTCGTGCCAAATAATCATCACGTCTTACAAATGTGCCTCTTGTAAAAAAATTGTTAAATTTACCTGGCATTGCAAGATTCTTTAGCGCACTAAAAACAGCCTGTTGCTGCCTTCCCATGTTCTAAAGGGAAATAAGAGAGGAAAAAAAAAAACAAACAACAACAAAAAAAAAAACAAAAAAAAAACAATGACATTAGTAAGTGTCGAATCTTCACAGATAAACTGCATTTTAAGTTAATGGAGAAACATTCTGAAAAGAAACCGTCCTAAACAGGACTTGACTTATCAGTGGGACTTTTCTAGGGAACAAAATTGAGGATCTGGCGATTAAAACAAAAATGTTTAATCGCTACTAGGTATCCATGCAAGAAAGTTCATTTTGGGCCTTGTGACCCCTGCAGCTTTTTTCGTGCCTGTGCTTTTGCGCTCGTTTTCACCATCCATGAGACTGACAAAGCGAAATGTAGCAGAAATGTAGCACAATGTATCCTATAATTAATGATGAGTTTAAAAAAAAAAGCCTTTTAATGATGATGAGTTTTAAAGAGTTTTAATGATATATTACAATGATATATTACAATATTACAGAAAATTAATATGCACTGCCCGCAGTTAGCAAAGGTTAGTCGAGGCGGGCAGTGTTTAATATGTATATTATAAAATATAAAATAAAAAGTTATACAGAGCAGGAGAATCAAAATTCTATACAAATTACAACTACATTAATACATTTAAGAGGCGGCAAGAAAACAGAACAAGCTGAGGTCTTATAGTTGTGTCTTAAAGTAGACAAATCAATATAACCGTCATATTTTTCGAGTCTCTGGAGGAGGAAATCATGAATTTTACTCTTAAAGTTGTATTTTGATAGCTGGCGCACTTCACAAGACAAGCTATTCCAGATTCCAACACCATTTCTTGAAAGTGCCCTTTTTTGTATATCTAATCTTGAACTTTCAACAAAATAGTCGTCTCTTGAAGATGATCTTGTCTTATGGGGATGAATATTAGCTTGATAAGTGACTAAGTTACTTATGTTAGAAGGTGACAAATTATTGGATATGTCATGCATCATGATGGCAACTGATTTAAAGTAAAGCATATCCAAAGGAAGAAAACGAGAAGAAACAAAAAACGGGATTGCATAAGATCTGTAGTCACCAAAGTACATTAAGCGAAGGGCTCATTTTTGAAGGATTAGAATTTTATCTCTATGAATTTTTGCAGCTTGTCCCCACGCGACTATACCATACAACAAATAGGGTCAGATAAGTGACCTGTAAATTTGGTTTAGAGTACTAAAGGGTACAAAGTGTCTTAATCTAGAGATAACGCCGACTGATTTACTTATTTACTTTATTTCATTACCTCTCTGTGAGAACACCGAGCCAGTAAATTTAGTAATTTTTCGTGTACTCCTTGTTCCACAAGTTTGATACAATTTTCATCTGTGGAATGTAAGATGTTAAGGTTTAGTTCACAAAAAAGTTTCACAACAAGTCACTTATAATGAATTGCTTTATAACAATAACAATAATAATAATAGCATTAATTGACCCACTACCCCCATGGCCCTCTTAAAGACCAATACAAACACGTACACCAGAAACAAACAAACAAACAAACAAACCTGAAACAAACATATAAACCCAAAACAAACATACAAACCCAAAGCAAACTAACAAACTGGAAACAAATGCCGGAAACAAACAGAAATAATTATAAATCCCACCTGGCCAGGGCCAGACAATGTATAAAAAATGGGTCCCCTTGGGTAAACGAGAACAAATCCAAAGAGTAGTAGGATAGGGGGCTTGAACCCAAGACCATCAGATTACAAGTCGAGCACCCTAGCCACCCTGCCACACTAGCTGCCTCCACATACTGTCCTGCTATTTGGGACCCTCACCTGTTCGTCCAAAGTTGCCAATAGCAAGGCAACCAGAGATTTCCAGATCCTCATCGCCTGACGACAGCCAGGACACACAGGTCTTGTAGACAGAACCATTGCCATCATTGAAGAGTCCTTTCATGCTGTTATCTGTAAATAGAAGACAAATGTAAATTTGGCTTCAGTTCAAAGAATAGTAAAAAGTAGAGTAAAGTAAAGTCTGTTTACGAGTCTAGTGGTCCATTAGGCCAGTGCTTAACTCCGGTTTCTGTAGCATGAAGCGACTAGGAGTATTTCTACTCCCCCCTTGATGGGATGCCAGTCCATCGCAGGGTTACCCCCCAGCATTAAATTGCCGGTACCCATTAAAACAC